TCTAATGTGGTTTTCTTTTTATTTAGGTTTGAAATATAAGAATATAAACCAGTCTAACTCATTAATCCTTACAGTTAGAATAATAATTTTTAATAATTAGTTTATAATAAACATCATATATTTTAATGGTAACAATGCAATCTGGTTTAAAAATTATCATATCTCGACACCGACATAATCTTTATAGGATTTCATTCATATGTTAAAATGTATTCCTCTTATATTTATGATTGTTTATCATTAAAAAATAACTAGTGTTGAAAATACTTTCCTTACTCATTTACCTTCTTTAGTCTATACATCACTAGTTGTAATAATTTGTAATACATGGAACTCGCTGGTATATCTAGTAACTTATGTTAAATTGTAAATTTAAGATTAACAATGTTAACAAATATAATAATTCATAGTATTACTAGTTAACAGGAATAATGTTTATTATTAAAATTACAAGTGTTGTAAAATTACTGAGAAACGTTTTATTAAGTATAAATTTTAGATTACGTTATAAGGTTTCTAAATATACAAAGGTTATTACAAAATTATAAACAATTTTCTAGGATTATTTTTTAAAAATTAGGCTTAATTAATTTTATGTGTCATACTAGTTAAATTCATAAATATTTTTGTAAAGGTATTTAATTAAATTAAATTATCTTGAATTATAAATTTCTAATTAATTAAGGTAAAAATTTATTTGAAATAAAAATAAATAATTCAAAGAATAAAAGTATAGCTTATTATAACCTATATTGCATAAGTTTATTAATTGGATATTTATTCCACATGAACCTGCCTTTATTATATATGAATTAAATATTGAATTAAATTTTAAAATTTGATTATTAATTTGTGATACTGATTAATCAATTACTATTATAGTAGTTATAAAATATAAGGCCAGTCAGTGAAAAAACACGCGTTTCTAAATAATTTTTTAATTATAAATTAAGTTCTAATAAATGAATGTGTCATTTTTACAAATAATTATGAACTATCATAAAAAAGTAGAAATTATTTTTCCAATTAAATTTTATTGCAAATAAAATATGTTGTTTTGATTCTCATGTAATTCATAAATAAGTTTCTTTTGTATTTATAACACCTGTATTGTTGCTAGGGTGACCAGAAATGTTTGAGCCCCAAGGAGGACATTTGCTATAAATGTAATGTTATGGAGAAGATGTGAAGAGGACAGGTTATTTTCAAATCTCAATTATTTATTTGTCTTTATTTACTTAAATAATTTATATGAATAACAAATACTGATCATATTATGTCAAGATATTTGCACAAACGGATTAAATTTTAAATAATTAATTTTATAAAACTACTATATTGAGACGAATGTGAACTTTATTTGATAACACAATCTTTAAATTATATTTTATCAAAAATAGTATTGAATGAAATAAAACTACGGCAACTAATCATATTTATACACACATACTTACTATAAAACATAAAAATATCACAAAAGTTGAATGTTTTTAAATTTATATGCAACGAGGACATCTCAATGTCCTCCTCAGACACAGGGAAGAACATTGTTTTGAGGGCTCCAAAGGAGGACAATCCTCACCACGGAGGAAGTTCTGGTCACCCTAATGGTTGCATTATAAATTATAATATATTAATTAATATAATAAATTAGGTCATAACAATCACAATCTAAATAAAAAGTTGATTTTAGTTGTGTTCTTAGAATTCAAACTGCCACAGATGTACCAAGAATAATTTTAAATAATTAAAGTGATAGCAAAAAATGTGTTGACTGTCCTAGACAATAGTATCATTTTATAGGCCAATAACACCGGAAAGTTTTACTTCAATCATATGATTGCTTAAAAATTTTACAAATTTTTAAAATTCATTTTAATCTCATGTTTTGTTTGATTGATAATGATTGTGTTTTAAATACAACTGGAACTATATGTCATAATTTGATAAAAAAATTAATTATGTAATATTCTTTTGAATAATATGCATTTATGGAGCTATCATTTAATTGTGAATCACTAATAATTGTCGACAGAAATTATTAGTAATATAAACTAAAAACAAATAGAATTAAAATTCTGTATAATTAAACAAATTCTATACCTATTTAATAACTACAGCACACAAACACTAACCAGTCATTTATGATAGAAAAGTTAACCACATTAACCACACTGTGTATCGTAATATTGAATAATTATTTTAAAACATTGAAAACTATGTCTATGTCTGGCGATGATATAGTGATCAGCGGAATGTCGGGTCGATTCCCTCTGTCGGACAGTGTGGACGAGTTGGCCCGCAATCTCTTCTCTGGTGTCGATCTCATCACCGAAAGCGACAGTCGTTGGCCTAAAGGTATGTCTTGTTTTTGATTAAAGATTTCACTTTTAAGTTATATATCAACGCAATTACAATGAGTTTCATTTCAAACATATTGCATAGACTTCTGTGACATATCCTCCCGAATGGGACGCATTGAGAGTTACGACAGATTTGACGCAAATTTCTTTGGCATCGCAACGGAAGTGGCCGAACATCTCGACCCACAGAGCCGTATGCTATTGGAAGTCGCGTATGAGGCCATTATGGACGCCGGTATGTCATCTCAATATATCTGATGACATATTTCAAGCCCATTACTATGGACTTCTATAGTTGAGCCCTTTAGAAGTTATTATCATTATATTAATTTTAAATAAATTGTTTAAGGCGTCATCCATAAAGTACGTACGCAAAATCTTGGTCAAAAATTGACCCCCCCTCCCCCTACACGCCCATCGTACATAGGAGTTTAACATGGGAACAGACGCTTTGGCATGACCCCTCCCCTCCTATACGTGCGTATGTACTTTGTGAATCACGCCTAACTATAAAAATTCATAGTAATGGGTTTGAAATATTTCACCAGATTTGATGAACTGTACAATTTTGAAAGCCTATATTCTAACTGATAATTATAGATAGATAAATTATTCAATACAATAATTGTATATATAATAAGCGAACTCTTAGTTACGCTTTTTTAATATTTAATATTTTTGATTTTGCTAAACATGGCCACATTTTGAACTAAAATAAATATTAATTGATTTATAGTAAGTTGCAATAAAAAACGGTACAATTCATAAATAACACAACACGAGGAGTTTATTTTGCACACCTAGCTTACAATTATTACTAACTTTTAACACATTTTCTCAAAGTTATCCGGTGAAAGAAATGATCATGACATATTTTATATAAGAAATCTTAAATGTGAACCTATAAGGGACTTTCAATAAGTACGTACGCACTGTGTGTGTGGGGGAGGGGGGGTTATCCAAGGCATGTGTATGCGTACAATGTCCTATGTACGATAGACGTGTAG